AGGCGGCCGCCTGCAGCCCAAGCCTTCCGAGGCCCGCACCGCTGAGAAGTCAGATCTGGCCGAGCCGCCGCCAAAGTCGCAGCCGCCGTCCCCGACCACCAGCACGCACCACCATCCCCCACCTCCACCAGGCAGGGAGGACCCGGCAGAGGTGGCCGCCCGCCCACAGGACCACCCGCGGCCCTCGCTGCCACAGGGCCAGATCCGGCCGAGGCGCCACATCCAGACCCCGGGCACGGCCCGCCTCATTGCAGCCCACCACGCCCGCCGGAGAGCCCCGCGCCACCCGCAGAGCCGCCGCCGCGTCCCGCGCTCCGCAGCGCCCTGGTCCGACCGTGCCGGCCTGCGCCAGCCCCAGCCGCACAAGGGGGTGAGAGTCCCCACCGCCACCGCCGCCGGCCGGGCTTCGCCCGGGCGCGCCCTCTGGCAGTGGCGGGAGGGGGGAGAGGGGAGGGGGAGAGGAGAGGCGCCGGCGGCTAGGGTTCTTCTCCTGCCGCCCGCAGGGGCGCCAGAGGAGGGGGAAAGAATGACAACCTGACCTCTGGAAATTGTGGTCGGTGGAGCTCCTTCAGAACACACCATTGTTGCAGTTGTTCTAAATGCAAAGCTGCTAACTGCGAGAGAAACAATTGACCTTCGGTTGCGATTGTCTGCGGAATGAGTGAAATACTGAGGTCAGAAAACAGAGATTCAGTTTGTTCGTGAGGTAACAGCAGGATCTGGCACGCTGAATCTTTCGGACGGAATCAAAGCATGGGAGGTCGAGATGTCAAAACTAAAGTAAGTACCAGCATCCCAAATTACACCGGTGACGTGGGCACATGCCCTGCCGGAGACGAAGATGGCGAGGTCAAAGAACGAGTTTGGACTACAGGGGAATAGCAGAGCACATGCCTAGCGGGCGGGCACACCAAAGGCAGGCGATGTGGTTATCATCAATCGTTAGCATCTGGGATTTATTGTGTAAACACACAAGCGCTTGCCACTCTCCACTGTATAACAGAAGAAAGATTCAATTTATTCATGAGTTAGCAGCAGAACCGAAATCATAGAACCAGAAGTCAATTGTGTGAAAACAGGTACTGCATACCAGCATCAACCCTGGAGCCTGGACACAGAGTATGATACCACAAATTTAAGCTTAAGAGTAAACATTATTGCATATCAGACACAATATATGTTTCCATGAATGTTTCTCCTTGTGGGCTGAAGAAAATAGGGCACTGAATTAATAAAGGCAACGATGATTTCATCGTAATTAGAGTAAACACTATTGCATATCAGTAAAGCACCTTGTTTTGGTTCATGGCGAACTGGACGAATTTACTGTGTAGATGCTCCATGAATAATATTGTGCTACCTATCGGCCGGAGCATCCATGAATTAATCATGAGAATACATTGTTTGGCTTCGCCAATAGGGAGCACAGTTAGCGAAAACCTGGAAGATCACACCAAGTTTACAAGTCAATTCGACGCAAACCCAGAAGGCCAGCATACAAAAGAGGGGATGGCCACTTTTGACGGACAGAACGGCCAACTGACCTTTCTGGATGGAAGAGCTACGTCCTGAAGGAAAAATTGCCAACTGATAGAGCTTTTGCAATTGTTCCACGGAATCTGAGTAATTGCACTTTGTGAGTTTAATGCAGAACTGGATACATTCAAATCTATCAAAAGTAGGAGTATATGAAATCAATATGTCAAAGCTGATATGCACCAGCATCTACACAGAATAGGATACCATTTCTTAAGCTTCAGAATACATGTTTGAATACTTTGTTCCGACCAATGAGTGCATAAATGAATTGGCAAATGGACCATATGCTGGCCTTCTGGGTTTGCGTCGCACACTATCAATGTGGAAGTTAGGATTATATTCCAAACTTTAATAAAGCATTATAATTGGCTAATAGTATGCGACACAACAAAGATAGTGTAGCGTACCTACGGTTTTTACTTGATATTACAAAAAAAGGACTGATGAAGATCAAACGCCACATAGTGTGTATCACAAACATATCTACACGTTCAGGATGTTCATGAGAGAAGGAACATCATAATCAGAACATTATTTTGTAGAAATAAAGCTCGCAACATTGGAATGCTCTGTGCGAAGATTGTCTCTTACCTCCTTTTCTGTTTGATACTGCTGCAAGATTGGAATGTCAGAAAGCTACCATCAGAAGTATTGTTGCTCTCCAGATGAGGCACAGTTTGCTTAATGAAGTCCTGCTACCAACAGAACGATTAAACCTGCTGTCAAATGCTCCAATTATTTGGGTCTGCTGAAAATTCTGAAAAAAGATAGATTACAAAATGAATTGCCATAATATTCCAGCTAAGAAATTCCTACTCGGTGACATTTCTCCTTAAAGGGAAACTGCGCAGCTGCTACATCCAAACTGTAATATATATGTCACTGCAGAAATAAGTTGTGTTCCTATGATTTACAATGTCTAAACGCAGACGTGTGTGAATGGGCTACAGATTCCCTTGTAAATTAATGGCTGCATGCAATGTGAATGGAAAACCGAATGAAGGAGCATAAGTTATTTTTTGGTACTTGCTGGCAGATTGGCTTGAATGTGTGATCCTAATGCACCTAGCCCCACAACGCTGAGAGGATACATCTACCACCCTACAATTGAAACATGTAGCTCGTCAAGTCACAAAAGCTACACAAATGGAGACTGGGGGTGGGTTACGTACATATTTCTTAAGAAGTCTATGTAGAATTCTGAAGAAGATTATCAATGCATTAATGCACACGAGAGAAAGGGATTCCTACAGAAACAACTTGAGCTTTCGTAAAAGAGCACCCGAGCAATTCGAAACAAAATAAAAAGGAACATAGTTCCAATAAAGGAACCTGGGAACCATATTATTCTCCAATCTAAGTTCTGCTCAAGTCTCAAATGAATAGAAGCAAGAACCTGAATTATAAGTATTTACCTGTTGCCCACTTCTCAGCCGAGGAATAAGACGATGAGGTTCTGGCAAGAGGATGAAGACAAATCAATGTCTTCTCCTTGACCCTGCAGCTGCCACTCTAGACCTTTGTCATTCCATTGCCTACTAGAGCTGAACTAATTGTCCAGGTCAACAACGTCTTCCTGACCTCATCTCCCTGAACTCGGGGGACACCTGATTATTTCAGCAACAAGTATTGTATACATCAATCCATTATCATGATTTATAGACAAATTCACAAAATTAAAATGATTACGAGGATCAGTATAGTTTTTATAAGTCAAAAACAAGCATCGACTGGCCAGTAAGCTATAACTTGTATAATGCAAGCGTACAAAGCAGACTTCCATGTGTTATTCTTGTTCACATATCACATAATAAATCGACAGGTTCTAGAAACATACCTTTCAAAGTCTTGTATCTGGTCTTGCACCGGGGACATCAGTACATCACTGGTTCCCTTCCTTGCATTTGTTTGCAAGGGCGGCAGACCGGGAAGGCACACTCGTTGCAGGCAACAGACACTACCGTTGGCCAAAACGCCTTTAGTGTTGACACATATTTGGTAGACCTGCTGCCTGCTCACGCCTTTTGCCTGCTGCTTACCCTGCACTACATCAGTGAGATAAAAACAAGGTCAGCACACACCTATGCATGCAAGCAAAATTATACAACTAGCAACGAGACACAGAAATCCCCCCATGCACCATACTTAATCTAGTAGCAGGAATTGACCATCTGCTTGGCTGCTTAAAGTTGAAACTATGATCTGAATGTTGGGAATTAATGGCATGATCTGCTTGGTTGTTAAGGTATGGAATTGACTCATCAATCAGTGAATACTTAACATGAGTGCTACTATTGAAATAAAGGAACAGTTGAATCACTGAATCTGATCTCCCTGATTGCTAATTCTTGATCGCCTTGAGAAACATTAATTTCTTGAGATAAGGAGGATTTATGGCTCCTTAATTTACAAGAAAGCTGGCAGATGGAAACAATCTTGCTCTATTGGAGAAACTCAACATGTACAAGGATTGCATTGTAACATGCTTCAAAGCCTGGCGACCGTGAGCTGTCAGACAATTTGTCTGTTTGTTTCATCAAGCAGGTTTGTGTAAAAAACGTGTTCTGATTGGATTACTTCGATCTCTTGTGAATTGAGTAGTGAGTGTGCAGAATGTGCTCCAGTCATTGCCTTTTTTAAAGATAATTGCAATAGATATATTCTTCTCATTATGGTTTTAGTGGCCTGAAAATTGTCTTACTAAGATTCAGAATATAATTAAAGTGTTGGTGTAGGATGAAATCTGCATCCTGGGTCTGTAGACACCATATATGAACTAAGCTAAGAGGGAAATCATGCAAATTGTGCAAGCATAGAAAAACTCATCTCACTTGTATTTTTGAGTAATCATCCTCTGACCTGTATGTTTTGGCATTTCTGAACGCAACAACCATGAACGAACAAATATAATCTGGGAAAATCTACGAGGCCATCGCACCACAAATTCAAAAGGATTCAGGGGAGCCCAGATCCACCTAACATGGCGACCTAGATCCACCGACGAGCGCGCACAGCTCAAATGGCATAGACGAGAAATTAATTCGCTGGAAAGAGAGAGAGAGAGAGAGACACACACAGGTGTTGGAACTTCGCCCACAAGATCGATCACATCAAATCACGACAGAGACGCGCACACGATACAGCCGGACCCAACCAGCCAAACTAACCTTGCTAACGTACTAGTACTTGGACCTCACGTATACATCTTATCAATCAAGATTACCTCTAACAACAAGGGAGAGAGAGAGAGAGAGAGAGAGAGAGACGTGCGTACCAGGGCCGGCACGGATCATGACAAGCTCATTGCGATTGTGCGACCCCGCGACCATCCCCCATTGGCCGCCATCCGCTCCACCGTCGCCCGCGCGCGGCATCAGCAGCGACGGTCGAGACAGAGAGGCAGGGAAACCCCGAGATTCGAGAGGGAGCTCCTCCACCAATTGAAGTTCAGCAGGATACATCTATGCTGCAATTGAAACATGGGGAGACATGTCAGGTATCAGAAGCAAGGCATATGAGGAGGCATCACCTCAAATTAAGACTGGGGGTGGGTTACGTACCCCTTATGTCTACCGAAAACCATGGGTCACTTTCTTCCAATGTCTTGGCTAGCTCAGTTACATCAGGACTGCAAGAAATTACTTCTAGCTTTTCCAGTGAAGCAGGGAGCCCCTCCTTTCGCGGCAGGCATAGGATATTCCTACAACTGTTGATCCTTAGTGTCTTGAGAGAAAAAAGGCCACGTAACCCTTGAGGGAGGGACTGCAGATTGTTGCAATCTCGAAATTCTAGAAATTTGAGGGAGCTGAGAAGCTGAAGTGCTTGCTCTTGCTCTTCCGTGAAGGTCATCACCCTTTGATCATAACTGAACTCCAATGTGTGGAGGGTACCGGCTAGGTGGCTGCAGATGGGAGAAGTAAGCACTGTCGAGCTGCTATCCACCTCAAATTCTTCCAACAGGAAAGAGCCTGCACACATTAATTTTCTCCTTGCAATTCTCGAGAGCAGATCCCGTGCTACAGGGATTTTCTCTTGTCCCCAATACATATCATTTATGGTCAGTTTCTTGAGGTTGACCATGATGTGAGTATTGAACCCATCCATTGTTAATTTTTCACAACCTAACAAGCTAAGGCTGGCGAGGGATGTGAGGTTTGAGAGCAGACCCATTGCTTGCATGCTTGGCTCTAAGAAAATATTAAGTTCCCTAAGAGAAGTAGGGAAAGGCTTGATGGCATGAGCTCCCCAACCTACCTCTCCCTTGGGCCACCCACAGAACAGATTCCCACAGTTCCTTCCTGTAAATGATTGGAGCATCTCGAGGTCTGAGAGTCCTCCATCCTCCATAGACAGAAGTTCGAGGCTCTCACACTCTTTGATGGTAAGCTGGGAAAGGGCTCGAAAACACTTCAACACCTGCGAAAATAATTCTCCAGTAATACATAATTCCTCTATAGCAAGATTCTGAACTGAGTAGAGGACAACATTGTCAGCCATTTCTGCAGAAAACATGTCGTCGCATATCTTGAAACGAATACTTCTCAACAAGTTTAGTTTCCGGAGGTCTGAAAAGGAAATGTGTGACACATCCGTAATTTTCATAACCTCTACTTTATCCATATTGTCGAAAGCCAAAGCCCTGGTATACCCTTTAATGCTCAATTCCTTACCATCATACAATAGCCTTGACCCACCATTTTTCACACGAATATCTGTTAGTGTGGAGGTGTGAGGCATGGGTGGGAACTGAGACAACTCGGGGCAGTTATCAATATGAAGACTACACAGGTTGGAAAATAGGTCAGAGCACTCCAAGAAGGGAAAAAAGCTGAGAAGGGGACAACCTCCAACCTTAATGCTTTCAAGCCTTGAAAATAGACGGCTATTAGGTTCCCCAACCCACTTCTCAAGCTCTGGCATATTCTCAAACTCAAGTGTCCTCAGGTGCATGAAGCTTCTTTCTGTAACACCACTAAAGCCAGGACCAAACACACTCATCCCAGTAATATTTTTCAAAGTGAGACTGCTGAGGTGTGGTAGCTGCTCAAATGCTGGAAGAGGACACCAAGAAAGACCCTCCAGATGAAGAGACTCCAACCTCATTGTGCTAATGCCACCACACAACCATCTAGGACAAGGAACAACACCAGGATTTATAATGCCAAGCACCCTAAGATTAGTGTGTGGTTGAAGGCCATCAAGAACACCATCATCTATAATCTGGTGCTCTGTACCCCATACTAATCTCAACTTTTTCAGATTTCTTTTGTTCTTTAATTTTGCTTCGCTAGATTCTCCCTTGGACGCCACGGTTTCAAGATTACATATGCTGAGTTCACCCCCGAGTTCTCTCAATTCCCCCAGCTCTCTCAGATCAAACCCAACACCCTCTTTCTTAACATAGAACTCTTTTAGCTCATCTAAAAACTTCATCTTTCCAACCTCAGGAATATTGGAATGGAGTTCTTTGGAAGAAAGAAAATGTCGTAAATTCACAAGGCGGCTAATCTCTTTAGGCAACTTTTCACTACCACGCCAGCCATTGAGGTCTAAAAATTTCAAGTGGTAGAATCTAGACAATGTGCTAGGTAACGTCATTTCTTTCCAGCGACGAAGTGAACTAATTTTAAGGTATTGGAGGTGGATAAGATTTGAAAACCTGTTTGGCAAACATGTTGGAGTGCTCATCGCTACAAATAAAACTCGGAGACCATTTATTTCTTCAAATGTATCTTTTAGAATATTGGCTATTCTCGCATCATATAACGTAAAAATCATCAAAGTCCGCAAATTTTCAATGTCTATCACAAGCTTCAATTTACCTATCTCCTCCCCAAAACTTTCATCATATATATTTTTTGTGGTGAATGATAGGTGTTTAACAGAACGTGGTATATCATCAACACTAAAATTTAAACTACTTATATTGACACATTCTTGTGATGAAACATTTCGGGATAGTTCATGCAATAAATCATGCATAACGAAGTATTGATTATCATACGTATCAACTACCTTCATGAGAAAACCATTGTTCACTAATTCTTCTAAGTAATTCTTATTGTTTTCAGAACTTGGGTTTAGGATACCTATCGCAGTCCAAAAGCTAGTAATTTCTAAATTAAAAAACTTATAATCTTCAGGGAAGAGGGCACAATAAGAAAAACATTTTTTTAGAAGGAAAGGAAGGTAATCGTAGCTAATTTTTAGAGACGGCATAATATCATCATCATTTTTTGTGTTTTGCCACTCATTCTTTTCAAGAACTCCAGTCCAATGTTCCCGAGAAAGGTTTTTCCTCAACAACCGACCAACTGTGTTGGCTGCTAGGGGCGAACCCTTTAGTTTCTTGGCAATATCTCTTGCAACATCAATTAAGTCATCTTCATAATGTCCAGGCTTGTTATGACCAAATATAAATGCTTCAAACAATTCAAAGAAGTCATTAGGCTCCAAACCATGCAGTTCTACTACATGAGTTGTTTTCACCAAATCTGCTATAGATGGAAACCGAGTTGTGACAAGAACCATGCTGCCCTTGGTTTCCCCCTTTTTGAATGGAGCTAACAAGTTATTCCAATCACTTTCACTATTGCATTTCCAAATATCATCGAAGACGATTAAAAACCTTTTGGACTTCAATCTCGCTGCAATGGTTTTTTGAAGAAGGTCTAAATTGGTTGTCTCATTTGTACAATTGTATTCTTCCTTTTCAGTTGCAGGTATGCAGCTAAGGATCTGTTGGGTTAGCTTAAGGACATCAAAATCAGTTGAAACACAGACCCAGACCTTGACAGCAAAGTGACTCTTGGTCCTTTCATCATTATACAAGTGTTGGGTGAAAGTTGTCTTTCCCATACCCCCAGGGCCAACAAAAGGAAGAACAGAAAGGGTTTCACCATGATATGTGCCACTAGTTAGTGCATTTACAATTTGCTCAAAAATGACGCTTCTCCCATATAATTTATCTTGTGCAACAGTTGAACCCGTGGGAGGCCTTTTAAGGGTGATAGCTGTGCTATTATTTGGGATTTTGTTCAGCAAGTCAGATACGGGATCACATAGGCTGTGTATGCTCTGTATCAGTGACTTGATTTTGTTGGACATGGCCACCCTATCGAATTTCAACTTCCCAACAGCATCATTGCTACTAGCAGACCTGGTCACATTGTGTGGGTCATTGCTAACTACAGTAGCAGCAGCACACTCATCATCTTGAGTACGCGAGCAAGAAAGGCATTGTTTTTTCCGAAAAGGAAGGGCAAATCGCCCTGGTTGCAAGCAAGAAAAGCATAGGAGCGAGTTACCAATGGTGTAGTTAGCAGCATGGACGGCATGGGTGGCATGACCGTGGAGGCCATCACCCGGCTCCGGGGCAGCCTCCCAGGTGCCATCCAGTTGGTCTTGTATTATGAAGTAGTGGAGCTCATCCAGCGCGTCCTCAATCTCATCAGCCTTCTTGCTCAGGTTCTCCAGCAAGCTCTGCAGGCCAGGGTTGCTGCTCACATCCCTCTCCTGGGCAAAGTGCAGCAACCCTTGCATGTACTTCAACTTGGTCTGGATCTGGTCGGAGTTGAGGCCAAGCTCGGAGCTGGCCACATATGCGGCCACCAATTCATCAGAGAACTTATCCAGCACCTTGCCAACCAGCCAGCTGGCCAAGCCGATAGCGGCCTGCATCTCCTCCGACGGTTGGGAAGGTCCCAAGTGTCGGCCGGCTTGGCTAGTTACTTTGTGTGGTGGGAGTTTTGTGAGCGTGCTGTGAAGGAAAGCACAGGGATGGAAGGTAGGAATATGAACGCATTTTGGAAGAGGCCTAGGTGGCCCCTTTTATAGTGAAGCAGGTTTCATCGAATCGTGCCTTCTACAATAAAAGATTCATGTTTGTTTGCCTCTTGGGTAATTCTGAACGACATTCAGTGACAAATAAAAAGGATATCGTCTCGAATAGGGACAAAGCTGGAGTCGATGTTGTTGAAATATACTGTCTGCCTTCTTCCATAAGTTCAGACTTTTGGAGTAAATTCAATACATGTATCAAGGGGCTGGTAGGTGGTAGCAGGTAAGGAACAAAAACAAGCATTTTGTGTTTAAGAAACCCCGGATGATGGACCAAGGGGCTGGCCAGCTGTGGATGTTTCTTTAAGCTGCACGTTACAAGGAAGCATCCAAGAAGCTGGCCGGCTGCGGATGTTTCTTAAGTTGCAGGTTACCAGTATCATCCATGAATACATATGCAAATGAGCAGGAAGCATCCAAGGAGCTGGCTGGCCGGCTGCGGATGTTTTTTTATGCTACAGGTTGCTAGTATCATTCATGAATGTGTATCCACATGAGGAGGAAGCATCCAAGGGGCTGGCTCTGTGGCTGTGGAGTAGATCAGATCGTGGTGGAAGAGACGAGCGATGATGGAGCTCATTTACCAACTAGTAGCCTATTAGCTTGGTTAACTATTCGATGGTGAGTCAGCTTCAACAAAGAAATAATGATCTAATCTAATAAATATTAAGTATGATCTCACCACGAGAAGAGTGATCTCATGGGAATGGCGTAGCAGGAAAGCAGCAGCATGCGATAATAAGGGTGAACTACCAACCGATTCTGTATAAATTAATAAGAATATCAAAGAAGATAGAAAGGAAGAACAAGCAAAGCGAGGAACCAATAGGCTAGTGATTACCACTGCTGCCTGCCGTATTCCAGGCGGAGAGACGAAGACGAACTGCGTCGATCTGCTCCGCACTCAGCTTCCCCCTACCCGGCGTCGCCCCGCTCCCCTCCACTAGGCACCCGGATGGCGCGCTCTATCCTCTGCTCGCCGCCCTCTCCCGGTGGGCGACCGGCTTTCCTGCCTGGCCGCCGCCGACGAGACCCCGCACCGCCAGCTCTATTCGCTTGGTGCCCCATAGCGAGGGTTGAGCTCCGTGGAGTGTTGTATTGGGCCTTAATTTTTTGAGCTTGGAAGCTGGGAGGGGGGTCATGGGCCTTACTATTGCGTTATTGCAAACCCTAAACGGAGAGGACGGGAGGAGTCCAGAAATGTAATGGGCTCGATTTCTACGTACACTCTCATCTTTTCTTTTTGGCAAAAAATAAAACACAGCACGCTCACAAAACTAATGGCTCATCTGCACCCGATGAAGAGAAAATTCAAAATCAATATTAAAAAAATTGAACAAACCCAAAAAAAATGCATGGAAGATAATTTGGTGCGTGAGGTCCGCTCCTAGTTTCAGATCATTTGGACATATGAGTAGCTCTCAGCAAAAATTGAGTCAAAACAGTACATGGACAGTAAACTTTTTCAAATACCCCAAATTTATCTTTTTTGCCGAGAGCTATTCACATATCCAAATGATCTGAACTGCTTAGCGCATCTCACATACCAAAATATCCGACATTCAACTTCCTCTCAGGGAGAGAAGCGACCAGCCGAACAAAAACAATTAAAATTTTGGAGATGGGAGGTATCGACCCCCCTGCCTCTTAAATGCATTCTAAGCACTCTACCATTTGAGCTACATCCCCATTAATAAATTTTATATTAATTGAGATAATTAAACTAATTAATTGCCGGCAGTGATGTCTTATCCTTGTACGCTTAGCTGAATTATCTCTTAACTCATTTCATTTAAATGTATTCATCGAACGATCATGAGTTGTAGTAGTACAGAGAATGAGTTGTGCTAGCTGCTTCACGTCTTGAGCCACAGTCTGAGGAAGCTCCGATCCTGTTTGCTTTGCTGTAAACAAAAGCTAGAAGTAAACCGTAAATAGAGAAGAATATGTAGTTCCATAATTGTTGCCTTAATCGAGACCAGCGCCCGCCTGCTCCGACCTCCCGAAGG